AAAATAGAATACAAGGATTTGTCCATCTTTTTCAACCTATATTCAGTTGAATTCTCAACAAAGACCAGATATTTAATGCTCAAACAGATAAACTTTATTGTTTATTTTTTCAAATATTCATTTATTTTGAATTTCATGTCTGCAACACATTCTTTAAAAGCTGCAGGGGTGTAAAAAGATGGGGAAAGTTGAGGGATGTTGAAAAAAAAACACATTTTTGGAGCATTCCACAGGTGAACAGATTAATTGGAAACAGGTGAGTGTTATGATTGGGTATAAAGGGAGCATCCCTGAAAGGCTCAGTTGTTCACAAGCAAGGATGAGGCGAAGTTCACTACTTTGTGAACAACGAGCAAATAGTGCTAAATTTTCCAATGTACAACTGCAAGGAGTTTAGGGATTTCATCTTCTTCAATTTTCATTTCTTTAAATTTGTTTTTTTGTTTTAACTTCTTTTTTTTTGGTGGGGGGAGGTGGATATCAAGAGCCAGATGGAGATAATTTAGGAGCCCAATCAGAGTTTGACAGATGAGGGATCTTTATCGTTAATGCCTTTTTCTCAGGTTTTACTTTTAAATAAATTAAATATTCTGAGTAAACCTTGTCTAAAGCTTGTTTTTCCAAATATTAAAAAAGCCTTCCCAGTCATATTACTACATCAGTTTTTAAATAAACTGAACAATAAGCTGCTGTGGAAACAGTTCTCTAAATCCCATCTGGATTATGTGTTTTTGCAGCTAAATTGCTTCCTTATCTTTGCCACCYTCTCTCCAGAGATCATGTTTCATTTTTCCTTTGCCTCCACTTCTGTGTGTGTTACTATCTTTTGTTCTCTGGCTTTCAGTTTTCACTTTTCGCGGGTGCGCCTGTGTCTAACCTCRACATCAGTCTGTTCCAGTGATTTTTACTTCCTGCCCAGTTGTTCTTCCATTTGCCATATGCTGTCTTCCCATCAGCCATTCCACTGCAGGCTCTCAGCTTTGAACCCAAGTTCCACCTAGTCTTGAATATTTTAGTTACAGAGGAATCGATTGGTTCAGTCTGGCGGGATTCAAAAAGTGACAGTGTCACACATCCACTCTCCCTGGCTGGATATTTTTTTCCTAAAAATGTTTTCACTTGTGTTTTTTTTTTATAGAATGGCTAAATTAAACACATGAGTTTATTAATTATTGCCTTGTTAGAGCACCCACACGGAACTTGACCCATCAGTGCTGCATTTGCCTGTGGGTGCAGGTGCTCTCCTGTTGGCTGCTGAGCCTCTCCAGTTAATTAATACCAGCGGAGTGTGTCAGGAAAAGGGAAGGAAACATGCTGCCGTCGGCAAAAGTGCCGAATGAGTGACTCTGTAAACTTTTAAACTTAATTTTACCTCAAAAGTATAGCGGTAGAGGAGTAAAGTTATGGGCTGCAGTCTGTGGTAGAAAACATCAACAACACAAATGCAGTGTCGATTGTAAAAAAGAAAAGAAAAGAAAAGTGCAATTGGTAGCATATTTATTTTTCTGTTCAGTGGGTGACATCAAATTCTCTTCTGCACAAGAGTCACTTCAGAGCTGTAGACTGTGTTATTCAAGACTGGTCTTGGTCTTAAGATCACTTTTTGATGATCTTGACCGCATTTGTACTTGATCTTGGCCGTTGAAGACTCGGGGTTTCATTTTGAGACCAGTCACTATCTGTAACTTGTCAGAGTATTGCAGAATTTATTTGTTGACATCCTTGCTTTCAGGGATGTAAAACATGATTCAAATCCAAGCGTGAGTCATTGCAAATGATGTGTTTTTGTTCCTGCTGTCACCCCACTCGTGCCTGGCACTCCAAGAAAGTGAGCAGTGGTTGTCTGGGAACGGGAGAAGATGACTATAGAATCTTTGGTAATGCAATTAGGCTGCATAGATCCTAAAGAATATATCTGTAAAACAACATTCAGAAGAAAGCACACAGCGACTTGTAAATTCAGCAGTGCTTCACTTTCAGAGACGATTGGGACTACATCCAACTTTTATCATCACTTTGAAAAGAAGCACTATAAAATGTAAGCTATGTGCATTAGCAAAGCTACCTAGCTAACGTCAGCAATCTGCCTCTGTACCAGATTTCTTTACAAGGCCCTCACAAAGAGATTTATTGGTCAATATTAGTAACACATATTAAGTTGGGTACCTGTGTACAGTATTGCTGGCTTGCTGATGATGTGGTATTAACGTCACGYAATGCAGTCGGGGGCAGGAAGTGAATGCAGCCCTTAATTCAGCATCATTCTGTGCCATGTACCATTTTTGCAACTGCTCCAATCGGGAGAAAGAGAAACGTTTTTTGCARGTTCTGAAAGTAGTGTGTCAGAACTAAGACGACAAAAGCCACGTGACTGCAACCCAGCAATAATGTGGGCAATGATTCCCAACTAGGGGTACATGTACCCCTTGGGGTATGCGAACATGTTACAGGGGGTACGTGGAAAAATTTCTCAGGTGTGTAAAAAATAAAAAAAGATAACAAAATAGGACTGAGACATGTAGGACCCTATCTTTATATACATCGTATATACATTTACCTAATTTCCCTCTGYGATCAATAAAGTATTTTTGAATTGAATTGAGTTAAATAATTTCCACAATGAATTAAAAGTTCTATTTTCGTTTAAAAATCAGTTGTAGTGCATTATAGTTTTGGAGAATCATTATTACGTTTTTGACTGAAGGAGTACGAGTGGTATGACAAAATGGCCCAGGGGGTACACAATTCTAAAAAGGTTTGAAACCACTAGTAGGGCACTAAGTTCCATTTTTTTTCCTGGTCTTGGTCTCGACTTGGTCCAGCCCCCAAATGTCTTGGTCTTGTCTCAGTATTGATACACTTTAGTCTCGACTTGGTTTCGATCTTGGTCTTCTTGACTTGGTCTTGGGTTAGGTGGTCTTGACTACAACACAATTATACTGATCACACCGTAGCATGAAGGCTCAGTTTTAAACTTTAAAATAAAAGAACTATTCCTTTAAGACACCCCATCACGCTGTGGAGATCCTCCGTCAGCAGATCTCCTTATAAAGCCTTTCAGAGTGAACGTGTGGTTTGATTGATTCGGTGCGATTTGCATCCCTGATAAACAGCAGCAGTGACCACTACAAGACAAAAACATGGCCTGGGTGAAGCAGAGAGACGGAGAGCAGCTCCTGTCGGTGTCTGCAAAACTGCCACCTTATCTTCATCTGTTAAAGCCTCTCTTTTACACCGCATTAAAAAAACACACAGGCAAACTCAAAATAATTCATCCAATAAAAAGCCATGAAATGAAGTCGTTCGTACATATATATTTTTTAATTTTCTACAAAAATATTATACAATAAAAACACGGCTTAAAATATACACAGTCCACTTGGTGTTGCAATACCTGCAAAAACCTCTCAAGTCAAATATATAAGTTTGTAGGTAAATACATCTTTACAGCGATAATAAATCCCATAATGATGTGGCTGGAGYCAATAAAATAAACAGGAATAGGAACCTTGAATTGACAGCAGGAAACTTGTTAGGAAAAATGCTCCCAGCCCACCGACGAACAAGAACAGCGGGTTCTCGTTTTGGAGCCGAGTCAACAGATTTAAGGTAAGAGAACAGGTGCTTCCACCTCCACACGTGAAGCTTTCAGACATCATTGTAAGCCTTTGAGAGCTCATATTTTATGGACATATGCTTGAGTGGATTGTGGGATTTAATATAACGGCTGCTCCTGAAGTCTATCTGGTAATGRGTGATTGTGCCGACGGTTTGGATTTTTATTTTCTTCAGCTTGTTAGCCTCCTTGTAAGTGAATGGAAAGTGGTTGGAGCACACAGTTGGAAGGATATTAGTTCTGATTCACAGCAGCGCCCCCGGTACCCTGGACGATTTCCAGACCTTGTTTGTAACACCCCTCCCTGCACACTCTCTGGCCTTGCTGTGGCAGTGCCAGAGTTTTTTTTTTCCTTCTTCTATAGTTTATGAACCTTATTGTTCTCATTTGCTTTGGTGGGGCTGCAGTAGCTCCACGGTCAGTGCCACAGTCCTGTAATCCTGAGGCTGCAGGTTCAAGCCCAGGTCGCATCGGGGAGAGGATCTGCTGTGAAACAATAGTCAACTCCCTTGTGTGAGTGCGCTCYTTGTGGCTCCCCCTGCAGAGGGGAGCKGCCAAAAGAAAAACAACTTTGTCCTAATTTGCTTTACTGGCTGCTCCAAGTGTAGATTGTGGTGAAAGCATCATCACTCACACTGGTTTGTTTGGCCTAAACTGTTCAACTTGTTTGGATTTTTATCAGCTGCTGCTGGAAGTCGAAGATGTGTCACACTTGTGTGTTTATCTATCCGAACCGTTAGCAAAACATCTCGTGCCGGCTAATGAATCTCTCGGAAAGTAATCACTGGATGTCCCTCTGCAACTGATMKARTTTTGGAGCCGASCTGATTGGACATGYCTGCCACAGCTAATCAGATGTTTTGATTTTAAAAAAAGATCCACTTGCATCACACTTAAAGTGCGAACTTCTGACTCTTTGATTATTTTGAAGAAATTCTGAGCCAATTTCTATAGCCTGTAACAAAGAATTGTCTCTGCTGTGTGTGTGTGTGTGTGTGTGGGGGGGGTGCCCTTGTTTTTGCTACTTGGTGGGGACGATTTTTCAGGAAAATGCAGCCTCGTGGGGACCGGATGCTCAGAGGCTGAGTTTGGGTGGGTGGGGGTTTAGGTTTAGGACCAAGGTGTGAATTGAGTTTAGGTTAGTTTTAAGGTTAACCTGTGAGGTTAGTTTTAGGGTAAATGGTCAGGGTTAGGATATAAAAGTTCTAAAAAATGAATAGAAGTCAATGGAAAGTCCCCACAAGGATAGAGAAATATAGTAGGTGAGTGCGTGTGTGTGTGACTTAGCACAGGATTCCTTTCTAAATCTGCTGACATGAGTTCATTGGTGTGTTTGGGGTCATTGCTGCTGTAGCCCTGATGCACATAAAAATAAACAAAACAAAAACAAAAATTTGGAATATATTTCTTATTCAGTACATTTTCTTTCTTGCAGAGATGCAGCAGTCTGATTATTTACTAATAAAAAAGGGTAAAGCATTAACCTTTTAGGTGCTTCTGCTTTTTCTAGAAGCCCCTCCCCCTTCAAATATGACATGTTAAATAAATAACTGAAGGTTCAGAGCAAAAAGGATACAAAAATGGTATAATAATAGTTTCCAGTTGTTGGATTGTCCGTTTTATAGAAKTTAGTCCCCATGCTTCAGCATCATAGCAGTTCGGAGCAGAGGGTCAGCAACAGCGTCCAGAGGGGCGGCAGCAGCCAGGTGGGAGGCGGGGAGAGGRGGGAGCCTAAAGGCGAGGCGGTGTCAGAGGTGCAGGAGCACACCTCGTATCCGTTCTCGGCGTGGTCCGGGTGCACGTTGACTCTCGTCTCCGTGCTTTTAGCTTCCGTGTCTGGAGCGTCCGACTGCATCTCGGTGCAGAGCAGCCAGTCCTTCGCGATGAGGCGGGGGTAGCCTGCCTCCACCTCCATGTCGCTTCCCGGCACTCGCCAGTACTCCTTCCCTTTGAAGAAATAGGACGAGCCTTTGGAGACAGGAGGTCATAAGTTAGAATCATTGCCATCAAGAATGCAAAGGGTTAGAGTCTTGATGTTGCTCTAAGGGACATTTGTCTGAAAAAAGTAGAGGGGGTGTTRAAAACAGGTTGGGATTGCTTCATGTTGATTTGAACAAGATTATCTGTAATGAAACACAAACAAGTGTAAAAGCATCTGCCTTAGCGGTTTGCTGGCAGATAATTTCATGCGTAATGAATTAGGAAGAAATTCAATTGTAGAAATTAAAAAAAAATCTTGATCTGATTTATCATAAGAAAAAGGCTCACAGTGTAATTTTTCACTTCTGCCACATCCTGCAGAGTTATGTTAACATATTCCAGCCAGCAATTATGTTTGACAGCAATAAAATGGGGGGAAAAAACACTTGAGTAATACATGAAAGTAATTTTCTGACACAGAGTAGAGCACGATGTGAATTAAAGCACAACATGTATCCTACGGGTACATTTTATTAATAGTTTCTATATGTCCTACTTAATTTATTGGTTTTATTCCACATCAGTATGGGGCAATGGTGGGCAATCATGTGCCTGTTTGTCTATTTGTTAGCAAAATATCTAATGAACCACATGTTTTAATTAAGTTTCAGAACGAAATCACTAGATGGATTCAAAAATTCCACGACAGCCAATAAACCTAAGAGAATCCCCAAAATGGCTAGAAATCGACGAGTTTGAGAGATATTGAGTTAATATTTGGTGTGGTAGTAGCTGAGGGTCATGCCCAACACATACTCCAAGCTCAAAAAAAATCAGATAAGAGCTTTGTTTAAAACTGAGGTCTTTTTCTTTTGTCAAGAAAAGTTTATATTTTATAATTTACACAACTTGTCTAAAGAACAGAACTGGATCAGTGAATGTAGAAAATACATTTGGGTAATTCTGAAACAAAAAGTAAACAAAAATGCAAAGCCTTACGGGGGATTTATGCTTTCATTCAATATTCTATTGCTTTGTTACAGACAGACCCACCACCATGCCTTTTCTTGCACTACAGGGCACTTAAGTTAATTAGAGTRAGCCGAAGTACCAAATGGGTTTTGGCACTGTGTGCCCCTGGATGGAAATACCACCCTGTTGTTTGCCAGTAACTGATGTGATGAGGTGAATATTAAAGAAAATATTGAGTCAAAATGAGCTCTGATCTGAATCTAAACAGCTACACAGTGCAATTCTTGAAAACATTACTCCTGTTTGAGAAAAAAAAGTCTTTACAATCAAGTTCAAGGCGTATGTGCTGAATGATAAATTCAGTGAAGCACAGTTCAGCAGAAATTTGATGGTTTATAAAATCATCTATTTTCCAAAAGCTGGAACACAGATTTTGTTTTTAACTGTCCAAGGCTATCCTATTGAGAGAGACAAACAGACAGAGAGAGAGAGAGAGAGAGAGAGAGAGAGAGAGAGAGAGAGAGAGAGAGAGAGAGAGAGAGAGAGAGAGAGAGAGAGAGAGCCATTAACATGGGATAATATTGTCTCTCATTAATATGAGGCAAGAGATAAACAAGAGAAGGAGCCAAGTGAAGAATGTCCTCTCATTGGTAATAGCTCTGAAGCTCCCATTGAACAACTCAAGATCTGTCATTCTGTAGCTTTTGAGTGATTCATTTTTGTTCCAGCTTTGTGACTAAGAGCTGGTGCCCTTCATTTATATTTCCATCCTATYGCCTCAGAATAAAATGGCAAACACATCACACAAAACCTTTACAACAAAATTTTAAAATTGTTWAGTTAGCTCGTAAGGGAATATGTGGGATGTCCAGTGCTGTAGTCTAGTTTTTGGAAGTGTGTATACTGTGACCCTCACTTCATATTTTTTGAGTCACAACCATGACTTATAGCTTATTTGCATTCACACAGTGCACGGTATTTATTTTCAAATGCAATGTATCTTTTTTAATGAATAAGAWTGTGAAAAACACAAAACTTTGTCCTTAAAGCAACTAATAAGTTTAGATTGAGATAAAAATTATTGACGTAACTGAAACAAAATTGCCAAATATAAACTATTAACACACATTGGGTAAGGTAGACTGATGCAACAAAGGTAATCTGTTATTATTAATTCATCTTTAAGAGTTTTTCAACTTACCACCACATTATTATGACCCCCACATGCAAAGTGCGGGTCATGTTGTTTTCGTACTGTTTATTTTGTTTCCCTTTTATTTTTTCAGAGTTTTGCGATGAACCCCATATTTCAAGTGGGGGCGCCATTTCAAGAGTTGGTGTCTGGACATACAAAAATGCTTGRAGCTCTAAAACTATTTAACATACCACATTTGACAACCCACATATCACKTTTGAGCTTACTAATGTGCATCTAGCCCATTATCTGCAGGCCATAGCCTTTTATTGATTGACAGTATAATCTTGAGAAAACACTGGCAAAGCAATAAAACCACCTGACTAACACAAGTTCAAAACGCCTCTTATTAACAGCAGAATATTTAAGTCCTGTAAACTTTGAGTTAAAATCTCTGTTTTCTTTCTTTAGAAAGAAAACACACAGAGACACCCCCCCCCAAAAAAACAAAACAAAAAAAAAACAAAGAAAAAAAAAAACACCAGCACTAAAATCTGTGATCATGAAAAGATCTGAGCAACAGCTAAGATTATTATTTGATTGGCCTCCTGAAGTGCCCCTGTCCTGTCACTCATCTGTCCTTTGCCCAAGAGCAACGATGGTGGATGCAGTTCCACATCCAAACACTAGAGGCGCCAAAGAAACCAATAGAAAAGTCCAGCATGAATCAAGCTGACAGAAGTCTTTCTCTTTTCTTAAAATTTGAACAATCCTGTAGAAAATCTTTCAACTCATGATGGTTGGATTTTCTCACATGCTGTTTGTTTGAAAGTATTTTATCTATGTGCTGTAAAAATGCATTTGAAATTAATAAGGAGATTTTACTGTGCAAGCTTTTTTAAAATTACAAGTGCTTAAACGTGTGACTGGTTAAATATATACACCTTACCAAAACCAGCGATTTGTGTGCAAGGATGTTGAACAAAGACTTGGCCCCTCTATAAATATCGTGGCTCCTTACACAGAAAAATCCTAGATCCGCCACTGGTCTGGCAACATAAAAGGTGGCGATCATACAATTACCTCTGCATGTGTGTGTATGTTTGTGTGTCTCTGACTGTCTAACAAAATATCTTCATTCCAATAAAAATCTCAATGTAATCATCTATAACTGATTAACTTGRAGAGTCAACCCGATTGAAAATCATTGCTGCAGCTAATCAAACTTAGCTAACAAAAAAAAAAAAGGTACTTGGTTATCTCAGCTGATCTATGGCATTAAAAAGCATTACTTATTAAATATTTCTTTTTGTTAGACTTCTAGCCTCATAGACAGTTTTTACCCTCAAGCAGTCAGACCTATGAACAGAATTCTAAATGGGTTTTTATGCTACATTTTTCTTTACACATGCTTTCATTTTGTTATAGGTCAGTGTATCATTTTAATTAGTTTGAATTATTTATTGTTTAAATATTTATCACAGAAACTATGTCTTTGTTGGCTGAGTAACAGCCAGGGCAAAACCCAGTTCAGAGCCTTTTTATGTACACAGTCCTTAACCCAGACCAGTAAACCTCAAATTGAACATTAAATTGAATTTATTTACGTTGGTAGCTGTTTTAGACACTTAAATTGCCAAACACGTTGAATTAGTAGCTGCTTTTTTTTAATWGCCACAGCCAGAGCCAGCTTATCATTGGACATATCAGTAGCTGGCACTGGCAGAGAAATAACCTCCAGCTACCATAGTGGTGCCAACTGTTCAATAGTCTTAATTTTGTTCTTTTTACTGCGCCATAAGTTTATCCAGAGGAATTTCGCTGAAAGCYTCACACTGCCTCAGCTTGGTGGTCTTTCCTCATTTACTGCATCTGTTCTTTTCCTTGTGTGAATATTGTACCAAGCTTTTCTCAAAAAAGCTTAATTTGACAATACAATATTTAATGCWAACGACCCTGTTGCTGTTTCACTTGTTTATTCTTGACCACGATCATTCTCTGTTTAAGAGAAAGACTCAAAAGAAAAACTTTTTCCTGTCGTCGCTGAGACATGCAACCCCTCTTTTTTTTCCCCTCTCACTACAACACATCAGTTTCAGACCACCGCTGCTGGTGTTTTCCTCTTCGATTTAAAGCCCCATGGAAAATTAGGGAAAATTAGTCCATCGTCTGTCTGCGAGACGCCTGTTTGAGTTCTGAGACGAAGTGTGCTGACAGGGGAGTGAGGTTACAGTTAGGAGGAGGAAATGTGTTTCACACGCATTCYCACACGGAGCGCCTTTCTGCAAGCTTGTGTGAAATGGAATTCCACATAACCGCTGAGAAATAACCCCAAAGCACRGATTATTCCTCAGATTCATTGTTTTTCTGTGTAAATATTGTCACTTTCTCTCCTCATTTGTTGTGTTGCCCAATTTACCACCACAGCCTGAACTGTGTCCTGAACACTTCCTCACAAAGTGAGAACCAGAAATAATTGAAAATGCTCCACCAAACAAATCCCTCCGGTAATTTTAAATGGGCTAACTTCTCATTCCCCCCAACTTCTTGTTCTTTCCAGTGGGGATAAAGAAGAGAACCCTGAGAAAAATGCAAGCYTGGTAAATTATATTATTTACTTAATCAGGTAAAACTTTAGCCCATCGAGCACACAGTGGAATAAAAATGAATAATTCCTCACGGTGCACTAAATGTCCTTCTTCTGAGGACAAGCTGTGACACGAGTTTCTCTCAGCAACCATCTTGTCCTGTAAAACTAGGTCAAACAGCTTTCTCACAGATGACGGATGAAAAAAGAACACTCACCCTTTTTAATTGTTTGTCACCGTCATTTTAAGTCCAACTGCAAAGAATTAAACGTCACTTTTTCTCCACATCTTTTTTTGTTGTACTTTTTCTCAAAGGTTTGGAAAGTTTTTCAGTAAATTTCAAATTACCCTTTTTAGTCTAATAACATGCTTTCCCCCCTTAAAATAGACCAAATTTAAGTTAAGGGCGGTTAATTACAGGTAAATTTGTTAGTTTCTAAATAAGAACTAAAAATCTTACTACTAACATACAAAGCTCTTACCAACCAAGCTCCATCATATATTAAACATCTTATTGCTCCATACTTTCCTAACAGAGCACTTCACTCTCAGACTGCAGGTTTACTTGTGGTTCCTGGAGTTTCTAAAAGTAGAATGGGAGGCAGAGCTTTCAGTTATCAAGCTCCTCTCTTGTGGAATCAACTTCCAGTTTCTGTCTGTGAGGCTGAAACTCTGTCTACTTTTAAGATTAGACTGAAGACTTTCCTTTTTGATAAATCCTATAGTTAGACTTAGGTTTCCTGAATTATTCTTCATTTCTGCTGCTGTAGACTTAGACTGCTGGAGCACAAACTGAGCACATTTCCTCACTCTGCTGTTGTCTTCAGTCTCTCTTCTCTAAATGTTTACTGTAATTATTTATATCAACATGTTTTTTTCTTTGACTCTTCCAGAACAAGGTGCACCTGGACCAGTTCTTCTGTGTTTACCTGTGTCTCTTTCCTGTCCCCCAACCCAGCTGGTTGAGGCAGATGGCCGACTGTCCTGAGTCTGGTTCTGCTGGAGGTTTCTTCCCGTTAAAAGGGAGTTTTTTTTTTCTGTCCACTGTCACCAATGTGCTGCTTAGGATGGGAGACTGCAACAAATTGAAGATTCAGTACAGTCTGCTGGCTATATATAACTGAATTTAAATAAATAAATAAATGTAGGCATGTATGTATGTATATCTTTATATATATATGGGTATGTGTATATTTTTATATATGCCCTCTATGTATTTATCCATTTATTTTTCAGGTGAGTGGACAGATGTTGGGTGTGTGGTCCTGTGTTTTGTTGGTGTATATTTAATATACTTCTAATCGCTATTTCAGTTTTTCTATCTTTCTAATTACTTCTCTCTCTCTATTTTCTCTTCACAAAAAAAATCACAATGGTGTGGAGAGGATGGCTATAAGGGGAGAAGGGAGGCCATCCAAAAAAAAGGAAAGAAAAAAAGGATGGGAGACTGCAACAAATTGAAGATTCAATGCAGTCTGCTGAATTTAAATAAATAAATAAATAAATAAATAAATAAAAACCTAAGACTAACCTAAAACCAAGTCCAAGCCAAGAATATATAGCAAAAATGACGTCAACTCAAAAATGAGAAAGCAACCCAAAGATTAAAACGTAAACCAAGAAACAACGTATTTCTATACAAATCATTGCAACCTTAGATGCACTTACATACCCAGAGGTTTCATACAGTTCTGTGACTACAAAGATGGGTTTAATATGGGCTGAGGAGGGTACACTCCAGCTGTCCCTTTTTTCATTTTATTTTTTGTAACAAACCATTATTGTATTTTCTTTTTGCTACCATGTCACTTTTCTCTCTCACCCCACCCCCCTCTGTCTCCCTGCCTCTCTCCCTCCCCGTGCCCATGTCAATCTCTTTTTCTTGTCCTTTCATCTGGAGCTGGTGAAACAAACAGAGAGCGTGCTTTGATGTGGCTCCAGTTCCCAGGCCCCATGATCTGTCCATGTGCATTTGTGCGTGTAGGTTCACCCTTCCAGGCTCTGTGGTGATAATGGCTGGAGGTGAAGCTGACTGAGAACCATGCAATTGACTGGTCTTTTCTCTCTGTCTCTCTCTCATTTTGGCACTCTTTTTCAGTAGCGCGCACACACACACACACATGCTGCTACGCTCATCAAAGAGCTCTGAGACCTCAGAGTTTACAAGCTCAGTCAATACAACACAGCCCACAAAAACACCTGACAGGGAAAGAGCTTCCTCACATGCACATGGCCTGCAGAGAAGTTCAGGGACACCTTGGCTTCCAGTGTGTGTTAAAACCAGGTGGTGTGCGCGCGGATGTGTGTGCATGGGGTTATTTCCGAACATAAACCATCCTTGAGCATCATCCAAATCCAACCTACAAACCAAACATCATGCTTCCATTCATCCATCAGAAATATTTAAACATCATTTGATTACTTTTCTTGCACGGGATCCAATGACTGTATCTGTCATGACCTTGGTACAGTGGGAGCTGCGCAGCGTGATTACACTGGGCGAGCTCCAAGGTTTGAGTGTGTCTGAATATCTGAACGTGAAGCAGAATGCTGACAAAAAAAGTGCAAGTGTGCTATGTCAAAAAATTAAAACAGATAAAGGTATGAAAAAACACGTCTGTTGGCACAAAAACTCCCCTAAAACCAAACGCTCTAATCAGCACATTGCAGCTACGCCAAAGAATCATGTGAACTCATTACATATGAATAAATAAACTGTATGAACGATAAAAACAGCTTTTCTCAGGTGAAATGTTTTACCATCAGAGACGAAAGTTRATTGAAACTAATGAAAATTTCAACAGCTTTTTACGCTGTAAGATTATTGACGAATATCAAACTTTTTAAAGTTTTTCTCAGCACCTCTCTTCAGAGTTTTACTTTTTAATAATCCAACAGGACATTTAATCTYGAGAAACTGTATGTCTTTGTAACGTAAACCCACCGTCAGACCACCTCATGGCATCATCCAGTTGGGAGGGCAGCCCCTTCCAGAGGACACTGTCTTTAGGGAAGCCCAGGTCCATTCGTCTCAGGTGGTCGTCGTAGCGCCAGTATTGTTTGTCCTTGAAGAAGTAGGTTTTGTCGTTATGCAGCCAAACGAAAGCTGCGTCCACCCCCTCCATGGGTAGGCCAAAGTCACTGATTGGACGAGGGTAACCCTCCTCCACGTTGTTGTCTTTAAACACCCAGTATTTTAAGCCTTAACAAAGAGGACACAGAGGGACATGTCACAAAAAAATGTTCCAAGTCTGATTCACTTCTTAAAATATTCTATTAAAGATAAATTTTAAGATGTTAGAAAATAGGTTCACTTTGAGAAGTATATTGAAACTCTTTAACCAGATTATTTTTTTTGTAATTCAGGTACTGTATGTACTGTATTTCACACATTTGGAGTTTGGAAGRGGTACCTTTAAAAAACACTATTTTGTGGTCCCCGGGTCTCTCGTACACGGCATCAACACTGTCCAGGTTGGTTGGGAGACCCCTCCAGAAGCGATGGATCTGTGCGGGACGAAGAGATACCAGGTGCTTCTCTCTTGTTAGCCGCCAAAAGTACTTTCCTGTTAAAAAACAAACAAAAATACTGAATATTACAGTTTGTCTCTTGTTAAAGGAGACATATCATGTTTTTAAATCCTTGTTTTTCACATTTAAATCATTCAGTTGGGGTCTTTAGAAAGTGAAACTGCAATGCTTTGGTCTGAATTCCTCCTTATTGTAACTCCACAAGCCCCTCTTCACCRCTTTTTCAAAGCGTCTCAGATCAACCTGTTTTGAGGCTGTCTCTTTAAATCTAAACGAGGCGCTTCACATCCCGCCCCCCTCCAGCTTCCAGACTGGTCCATTCCAGTTTGATAAAATGGTTTACGACTATCTAGCGAAGCAGAAACGTTTTACTTACAAATTAATTAAAAGACGTCAACAACAAAAGACTTGCCCATCCAACCTTGCTGGAGCCAGAGTCTGACCCAGAGCCAGGGGAGAATGAAGGCGAACAAATTGTAGTTGGTAAGTCCAGACCTTATTTATCAGTTCCATTGCAAATACTGTGATGTAATAGTTTAGAAAACATAACTGAAAATACAAAAAACTGAACAGATTCAAAAATATGACCCAGCAGAATATAAAGATACGTATCTACGCAGCTCAAGCAGAAACTAATTTAAACTTTTCTGCACTCCTAGAGACTCCAAGTACACAACAAAATGTATTTAGTAGTTAATAAAGTGGATTTTGCATATGTTCCTTTTAAGTACACTTCAAGATAATATGCATGTTTCACAGAATTGGAAAAAAAGCACATGGTTAATTTTAAAAATGGGACACTGATTGACCTAACAACAGTTATACATTTACCCACATACAGCATGTTATAAAGCAGCTTGAACAAAAAGTAACATCTACTGTACGTATATCTGTATTATTTCACATGTCTTCTAAACCAAAAACAAATTAACTATGTGCACCGATGCATAAACTTTTAATTGCTACATTAAAAACACAAGAAGGTCTTTCAAAAGAAATGCCAGCTAAAGTCTGTTTCTTGTTTCCGTTGTCAGCAGGAAGCTTGGGGTCACCTCCGGAGGACAAGCATGAAAGACTGATGTAATTTTTGGGTCGTAGTCTTTTGGAGRGCAAAGGCCTCAGTTGGGTGTCTGTGCCCCCCCGTCCTTCAACATTTCTTTATGCTCCCTTTTACTTTGGATTTTCCTCTATCCCTGCTTATTTAGTGCTCCATCTTCAMGGGGTCATCCTCCTCCATCTCACTCTGTCCTCAGCATGCCCTCTCCTTACTCCAACCACCTCCATATATCTCCTCTTTAGCCGCCTCCCCTTTGTCTTTTCTACTTGTTTAGCTTGGTGCCTGTTCCGATTCCCACACTGTTGTGTAGCTTTGCGTCTGTATGTTTCCATTTGTGCCGTGGTACCTTTGAAAAAGAAGGCCTCGCCGCGTATCTGGGCCACTGCATCAAAGTGACTGGTGCATCTGTCTGGGGCATCTCGTGCTAGCCTGAGAGAGATGTCAAAAAGAAGCAGAAGCAAGAAAAAAAACTTAATAGCTGCAAAAAAGGTGATAAAAAACGGTCAAATGGACATTTATGTTCAATCTCAAATGTATTTAATGTTGTTCCAGTGCTTTCAAAACCTTTAACATGCTTTTATCGACCCACATTTTGTTCCGGATGATCCACATGTGCCTGTGCATGAATTAGTGATACCAGCTTAAACTAAAGAGAAGGCCCTATCAGGCAGCGAGATCCCTGGGTGCATTAGTCCCCGGGGGTTTTGAAGTGATTTAAAGCTCTGACGTGGTCTGCCTGCCAATGATGAAGCTATTACCGCCACAGGGCTGAGAGTGTGAGCCCGCCAGCCCTTATATTACCAACAAGGGTCTCTATTCAGAGCTCCATTAAAACTACATCACTGCCCAGTGGACAGATTGGTGCCCTTGTCACAACTAATCTAGCTTCCCCACTCATCGAGTTGCGATGAAGTTAACAGGAAGTAATTAATAAGGCCAACAACGGTGTGGAAGCTGGAAAAAAAAATGAAGGTTAAGTATTTGGGAAATGACCTGTTACTACATCCCATTGTTGAGTTTTAGAAGTCCACCAAGTAATTAGTTCCTGAAAGTTTTACTCATGAGGTWTTCTGCTAAAAGACAGACAAAACAAACAGGGCAGCTACACGATTGCTCACCTTGAACAACAAACCACCAGGTAGACACTTCATTTAAGTTTCTGTATTGACAAAACTTCAGCTTGAAATGAATAAAAACCATACAGTAAAAAATGTTAAATATTTGATTTTGCAAAAATGTCTACACCTGTTTGCTTTTGCTAATTCAAGCCCCCCAAAATAACCAAACAGCACTATTTGTGCGTCCTGAATTGACCTGGAAAACCAAAATTGCAATTTACTTTCATTGACATTCCTGTCTGCTGCTCTCTCCACGCAGTGTCAAGCTGAATTARATTTTACTAACTGAATATTGGAACGGGTGGATTTGCACCTGGACTTCTGCATTTCAGCTAAAACGTCTTATCAAGGCTGTGGAAGAGGCTTAACGTTTGAGCATTATCAGAAAAGAAGATCTATTTTTTTTATTGTAGGAGAAAGATGAAGAGTAATCCTTTTATACTTACAGGACAGTGGATCTGTTTTCAGGAAGATCAAGAAGAACGGGCGGCTCAGGGGTCTGGGAGGGGTTACCTGGTTGATTTGTGTGAGACACAGAGTCTCTGACACCTACAGAATAACGATACATACTCAGTTATTTTCTTTTATGAACCGTAATTCTTAGTTATGTCGTCTTTTCTTTATGCCTTAATTTACTATATTCTCTCATTCTTTTCCTTTTAAACAAGCTGTAAACTGTTTGCATCTCTCTTTCTTTTGTTCCTCATGCTGACACTTCCTGTCTAAAGGCAAGGTGTAATAAGGTCACATTCTAAAGCAAACTCCAATTAACGTCTTTCATGTTTTAATTAAATCAGTATTCATGCTTTATGGAGTTCATCAGCTGCAGGTTCCTGTGCAAGAAGGCCTCCGTACCTCAAGTTTCCTGAGCCACACATACACAAATATTCCTCGCAGCACCAACGAACACATAAAGACAGAACAGGCTCATAATTCAAGGCCAGAAGAGAAGGATGGTATATAAGCACCTGAGTGTTGGAGAAATTATAAATTTGGCCCGCATACATAAAACTCTTAATAACAATGACATTCACTGTATGACCAGTGGATATTACCGGGTTTTCTGAAATTCAAAGAGTGTTATTAAAGCATTCATGAATTAAACTGACTTAACCTCGTATGTGTTGTTACTTCCAAATTGTTAAGGTGCCCTTTAGAGCTTCATTTTAAGCAGCCTTTTCTCAGTACCAAATACAAACATCAAATTCATTTTAGTGATAGCATCTTTTTTGATTATATTTATTGAGAATGCACTTTTTTTCTCAATTATATGAAAAACACTCATACAGACAATTTTAGGCTCTAACAATACTTAGATTATGTTTTTGTTATTTATATGTGCTAGTTTTCTAGAAAAATGGGTGGCTGTGACAGAGTTTGGGTAGTTGTCCTGTAACTGGTGGGTTGCCAGTTCAGTCCCCCATTTCATCCATCTCAGTTATTGTGTCCTTGGGCATGACATTTCACCTGCCTGTATGGTAGCCTAGCCTCTGTCAGTCTGCCCCAAGGCAGCTGTGGTTACAATGTAGCTTACCACCTTAAATGTGTTTATCAAAAGGTGAATGGTTAAAGTGTAAAGGTCTTTGTAGTCACTAGGGACATGATAATATTCTATATAAGTTCAGTCCATTCACCAGTCCAAAAAAATCTATTTYCACAGACTGAAAAAAAGAAGAAAAAAATCCATTGAATGCTGAAATACCCTAATCATGCCACTAGATGGCAATATCAGTGACAACATTGGCTCTTTAATCTACCATAGAAAGAGGTTCTAAACAGTMGTTGCTATTGTCTTTCTGTTGGAAACAGTTCACCCTTCTTCTAAATTATTAACKTTTTTCTCATATGACCAACATGTAACAGCAAGAGTTAAGTGGCCACATGCTCATTCATACCGTAGAGCTGCCAAACACGAACTTTGTCTTCGTAGGGTAGATCATATTTCAGAGGGTCTCCCACAGGACCTTGGTAGTACGGTCTCATGATGGACTCTATGGCCGAGGTGTGGACCAGGCCGATGGCGTGACCGAACTCATGAACTGCAACCGCAAACAAATCCATCCCATGGGAGTCTGGGAAAGACAAAATGAAACGGAGTCAACAAACCACAGTGTGGTGGAAACCGTGACCATAAAAAATGGAGAAGGGATTACATATTGTAGGTGGGGTTTTATACTTTAACTGTAACAATTGTTTGTTTCTCTTTAAACTCAAGTATTTAGACCTTTCCTATTAGTGAATGTTCACATGCTTTCATATAATAGATTGGAGGCAACCTGTACCTATTTTAATTTGATGGATGTAATGAAGAAAAATGGTGTATATTGAGTTTCATTTAGAGCAAACTGACAAAACAAGCATTAGGAAATGTTGCAAAACACTCAAAACAGACTGGTCATCTTGTGTGTGTTTTTGTTTTGTTTAAATTAATTTTTTTTATTGTGACCAACAGCTTAGTTTGATTGTCAGGTTCAAGCACACGCAATGAACTCCTTAGTATAATCCATAATGACAATGACCTCTCAGCTCTAAGTATGCATTCTAAATTGATCCTCTTCAGGAATTTTTCATCTCCTTTTGAAGCAATTAAAGAGGTATGACAGCTCAGAAAACCGAGTACAGTCAGGGATATCTAGAGTAAAAATGTCTGAGATCCTCAGCCGCCAGTCAAAATCCATTCACAGAAAGACACCTACCGAGGCCACAGGCTCTTAGAGCACCTTCCCTTCTTGTTTGGCCAAAAACATGAAAAGAATCCTCTGAAACTCCTTGTCTGAGTCTGAGAAGCAACATAAAACCTTGAGCTTGGAGACTCGGATTTGCAAATGTGTGAAGAGCTAAACACATGGCGCAGAGCTGGCTTAGAGTTCCTGAGTGGGATGGCTCAAGTCAGCATTTAGTTAACCTCGGGRTGGCTTCAGCCTGGGACATGCCGTCACGCTTACAGTATTCACCTGGGGTATCCAGGAGACAAACGCCGACTCTAATCTACAGAAGCACATGGTGCAGGTGAACAAAGGGAGGATAAGGGACAGAGGCCGGGGGGCTCAGTGCAGAGGCTCTACCATGTCATGGTATTTATGGCCCGTGTGAAACTGGCAGAATAGATGTGACGCCCGAGGACAGGGTCGAAGCAGGGAGAATCGTGCGGATGAGCCAGATTTGTTTTGGAAGCCAGGGAAAGATAGAGAGACAAAGTAGAGTTTTGTGTAGCTCTGAAGTCTCAGAGGCTCAAGCTTTGTTCTTCCAGACACACCAGTGACCCATTAAGTAGCTTTTTTATTAACTCAAATGTGCTTCTTTCATGGTGCTGAGAACAGACTAAAAGCTTCAGTCACTGTAGCTTTTTTACATGGTCAGAGGGAGACCCTCTCAATAAATTATTATGTAGATTCATCTAGATTTCATACAATGCAACAACAACAAACTTGTTTATGAATTCTTTTARGCTGCAGATAAAAATAAACAAGGCCTCAGTAGCTGCGTTTCCATTGCAAATGTGTGCAAAACTTTGTCGATTTTCTGTTAATGTTGACAAAACACAGTTTCACAACTGTAGTGTTTCCATTAAGTAAGAAATGCTATTAAAGTCACGTGTGAATATGTTTGTTCTCGCAATAAGTCATTACAAACATGGTGGCAATGGATGTAAACACATAGCATTTTGCTACCACGACACTAGCGCTCATCATCAGAGGAGACATTGGTGTCTTTTATCGAGGCTTTCCAGCGACCAGTCCCTACTTGGGAGCGACTACGTATGCTGTGTTTTTGGGAAYTTGTAGTCGGTGAGTTTACTATTTAATCTTACTACGTCTGTGATATTACTACTACTTCTACTTCCTGTTGTCTTCTTTGTTGTCGTCTTTTTCTCCAGTAGAAACAGCCGGTTGTTGATCACGTGACTCCCGTGATGCGAAAAAAGTGTTTCCATTGCAGTTTTGCGAAAAACACCAATTCCGATACGGCCGAAACACCACCTCATCCTTGCGCGAAAACATTTTGTCGAAAAACTATTTTTTTTCCTGAAATTGATGTGCTTCCATTGAGCAAATTTATTTTCGAAATTCTAATTTGTGCATTTTCATGGTCAATGGAAACGCAGCTAATATTTGCTYCAATTGTGAGAAATGCATATAATCAGGCTGGTTTCAATGTTTTTACAACAGAATTTTATTAATATGTTTCAATATGAGAGCACAGAAGTGGGGATATAAATCTAATCCACAAGCACATCTTTACAGCTGCACTGAGATTTAGAAATAGGAACTTAGTGTTGAGATGCACACAGAACATTTCTAAACCTGACCTTTTTGTTTCAAACTCCTGACCTCAGTTTTCAAAAATGAGTCTCCAAGATTCTTTTAGACATAAAAAAAAAGAAAAAAAAATCACGCGATGGAAAAATCTCACCTGCTTAATAACACTTTTGTCTAAGTCGGGGTAATGGTTTTGCAGGAGCAGATTGTGGGGCTGAGTGATAATTAATACATGCAATCTGCTGCCTGTCAAAGCGAAAACAAGACTTTCCCGACCTCCGCTCATTTGATCTCGCTGAYACTCCACCTCTCTCACTTCTAACAAATGCCAGTAAGAAACCTGCACAGCAGGGGTGGGGCTGTTCTACTAAACGTGCTGCTTAATTTCCTCCATTCAGCATCGTTGTACGCGTTTAGGAGATGAASTAAGCGGACCTGGATTTAGGGTCCCACTGAGAACAGTGAACCAGGAAGRGGGGGACTGGAATTAGCAAAGGCAATTATTCAGCTATGGATTTGTATGATAAGCTCTTTTTATATAAAGATGATTACATAGCTCTGCAATCTGCTGAAGCACTTTTTACCTTCTGGCTGACCTAACAAGGTTATATCTTTTCAATGGATTGTCTAAAAGAAAAGTTGCAAAGAACACACATTTAGGAAGCTGATAACTCCATGGGGTGGGGGAGTTGTGTTGTCTTAGAGGCAGGTTCAGATGTAAAAGCAGCAGATTTGCAAACGCTGATGACGTTGGGCGAGGATGTTAGATAGCAGCGAGGTSAGAGCGGCAGAGTGTGACGTGAAGAAATTAGGAGCTGTTTAATTAACGTCTTCCCCTGAGCTCCGGAGCGTCGGTCTGACAGCAACAGTGTGGCGGAGAAGGRGAACTCAGCAGCTAAACGAAACGTTGAAGTCCAGAAGGTGAGTGGAACTTTACTCCAACGCTACAAAAAGATCCTACAACTTTTTAAAAATAATTAATTGAGATCATTTTTTCTTCCGTATGTTTTTCGACACATCTCTCATTCTGCATTTTTTATGCTATTTTATGGATGTTTTCAAAATCCATAAAACTCCTCAAATATAATCACAAATCTTTTCTGCACTTTTGATCTTTTGTTCTGGTTCTGAATTTTTTTTTTTTTTACTATTTTGTGCAAATTTCAGCTTCCTTTTGCTTCTATTCAGCTGAATTAAACTTTTTAGCTATCCTTTTCACATTTTCTATTCTGTGAATTAACATTTTTGATTTTCTTTCAGCTTATTTCTGCTACTCTAAGCATTTTATGCGGTAACAATTTCTTTTACAGTACCCTTATTACCATGTAATTACAAGGTAATAAAAGTAATTAAATGTAATTACTACC